CATTTAATAGAAAACTATTCAGCATCATCTCAAACTCCTTTACAAATTGTAAATATACAGCCGGGTTTCCATCAAAACACCGTGGTTCTAATTTAGGGAGTTTGATGTTCCTATTATCCCTGAACGGCGAAACAGTAACATCAACCATGTCATGCTTAACATCAGACACATCGTTACAATTAACAGACAAGTCACCATGACTTACTTTCCTGTTTGTATCCAAGACACTCTGTCCCTTCTTTGACCCAGGCATTGTTGAACTTGACCCAATTCCAAAAAGTTCCAGATATTGCTTGTTCAAAGAGGACTTGACCGGCACCAGGAAAAATGAACGGCGACTATCCAAACTTTCACCAGCTGTTTGAATCCGCCAGATCTGTTTCTATCGTCAGAAACTGTCAATCACGTCTCATAAACCGTTAATGCCCAGCTCTCGCTACGCTCGGGCCCACGCTGTTCTTCGAAGATTTCTCAGAAACGCTCAGTTATAACGGACGCAAAAACCAAAACACTGATCTGCCGCTTTAGATTTGTTTATTGTTACACCAACATATAAAAGGAATAAGCGAACTAAGGTCTGAAAACAAATATTACAATAATAAATCTCTGTATTACTTCTGACGATGTTTCACTCTTCTTTCTGAACAGCGACCGATGAGACGATGACTGTCGTATTGATGCCTCCGCGAAAATTGGGGAAGTTGACTTTAAGCAAACAACCAAGAATTGATCGTTCAATCTTCAACTCCATTGACAGTCGAATTCCCTCTGCGAGTCTTTGGAAAGAAGTTAAATCAGGTACAATCCTGATATTGGTGTAGGGTGTTGAGGAGCCAAGAGATTTACCAGACTCCAAAAATATCTGAACGGGGTCAACGGACTTAAATTTGAAGAGTGGTTTGCAGATTTCTTACGAAGACGCAGAACCTGGCATTCAGATACTGAAATGCTGCACGCCTGTAGTCAGATTGCTATAAGTTTGACAATAGGCACATTGTCTGGTATGTTATATCCCCGGTGATCCACCAGCTGTTTGATACGGTCGAATTCCCTCTGCGAGTCTTACAAGCAGACAAACTTTGACTCGCCTAATAGCCCGTAGAGCATAGCCAAAACTTTGTTAAAGCGTTTCGAGGAACTAACTTCGGAACGCTGCTATCCTCAAAACTTTCTTAATTTCCCCTTCTAATTCGTGGGCTCGATGGACTTGACGTTAAAATCTTTCAGGTAGTGGTGTTATCTTGCCACTTTTCGTCCTTTATCCTAAAAACGTTACGTTCTTCTTAGCAATCTTAGATTTCACCTTGTTAATGCGTTGACCGAATTTTTTGATGCGTTTTAGAACTGCCTTCACGTGCTCTACGTGGTCCCTCTCTCTCGTACTGTGTATCACTAGACCACCTCCATAATTAGAAGTCAGTATCTCTATATTTCTTGATGTGGTCCATTGAATCATTAGTTATCACATTGTTACCACAAACTAAAGACAAAAAGACAGCAACCATGTAATTTAACCTTAAGCCAAATTAATGTAATTTAAATAATGCTTATCCATGCCTGTACAACAGGTGTGTCCTAAACAAGTAGGAATAAACATGTACATTATTATATTATCATTACTAAATATGCTCGCTAATCGTTTGCGTAATTTATCATATCGATGATGCCCGGAAATTGGCGTCCCCCATGCACATAAATGAGAGTATATTATTATTATCAACTTGGACATTCCTCACAGTCTTAAGCAGCAACTTCATTAATCGCCTAGAGTGAATGGGACGCCTGACAATCCAAAAGACATGCGTTTAAACCAATGTTGTTACCACCCCACAAAGAAAGTGGTCTTGTCCTCATCTCCTTGTTTTATTGGCAGTTACCGGTACCCTGATCGCAGATCTAACCTGTGAACAGCTTCGCACTTTGTAAGCAACCTATAGTTTCTGCTCTGTTTTGCGTCGCACACGGTCTCAGATCTGTTAAGCTGTTCAGCTGTCTGAAATCAACACAAAGTCTGTATTTCCCGTTGCTTTGCTTCATTAATAGCACTGGAGAACTGACTATATTGGCTATCGGCCTCTTCAATAATTTTGTCCTCAAACATCTCATAAACCTGTAATGCGACCTCGCTTTCTAATTGACACGAAGCTCTTCGAGTTATGTATGGCCTCATTTGACCGCATGTCACTCACTTTATCACAGTAACCGCACGAATTTCCATCTCCAGTGAAAGGATGCTTGTATTTGTTAAGTAACTTCACTACACTTAGGACTTTGGTTACTGAAATCCCTGCTACCTCACTATTCTCATGCATGCTGAAACACCCATACTTCGAAACCACAACCCTTTTCTCCACGTTAATCACTGCATCTGCTTCTCGCAAATAGTCTACCTCAAGGATTGTTCGGCGCGAATCAGGTACAACCAGTTATGGAAACGTAAAGTTATCCTTCCAATACCAACCCTGTAGTCTGCTACTCTCGCGATTCTTAACACGTAGCTGCCAACTCTCTGCATCATCAACGAACACTGCCTTATAGTCTCACATAAGTTCTTATCTAGGAGTGAGACTACTACCCGTGTGTCAATCACACACCAACTGGCGGTCATTTACGCGCAAATTCGAATATATGTCCCTATTCTCAATTGCTCCAATTACCTCTAATGTTGGACAACAGAAATAAGGCACGCTACACCTTTTAAAACCTTTTTTCTGTCATTTTTCTAGGCAAAGGTTTTTCCAGCGCCCCAGTTTGCCACGTGCAAAACAGCGGTCTCTCCTCACGCTAAGTCTCATGACCCGGAATCGGGACGTAGCACTGACGTCGGTGGCACAGTGGTTAGGACTCCCGCCGACCATGCACATGGTCCGGGGTTCGAGCCCACGCCGACACACACCTGATATCTATGGTCGGCCCGCGAATTTCGGGCTACCGATATCCATGCTGAAAATTCCACACTTGTACCAAAAATACAGTGTGGAATCAAGCTGTAATCAAAAATTAAAAAAATTAAATAAAAAATATTGCTGTCTACAATTTTTGCCTTGCAGTTAGCTGTCACTGCGAGCTATTTCGATTTTCCATGATTTCTGGGAATCCGCCAAAGTAGTATACGAAATGTATCCTTCCCGCCTTTTCAAGGGGTGGACATCGGCAGAGCGCCGCGATTTACTGACGACTTGCACTACTTTCAGTGTTATCTAAGGTACTACGGACTCTTAGTGATTATCCTATCAGGCAGTACCACTAGCGGTCTCCTACATGAAGCACAATATTGTTTCCGGAGAAATGAGTCTTTTGTGAAAATTTTTTAGCATCTTGGAACGACTGCACATATTTCTAGGATATGAATGTTCCACTCCATCCATTAATTCCCGTATTCTCGAAGACGTTTGACACAGCTAAACATGATGTTTTCCGTCAGAAAAGTGCGGCTTGAAACATGCGCAAGACCATATCTTTAGTTGCTCAGTATGGTCGCCCCGTCAACACTAAGAAGTGACATCAATCTTTCGGAAAGAATCCAGACGCATATTACCAAAGGGCTGGTGGTTCTCCAGAATAAACCATGCGATGAAAAGCCACAGAAATTACGTCTTCCTAGACTCAGCGGCATAGATTAAGGGTTGACCTGATTACTACTCACAAAATTACAAATGAATAAAAGCACGCAAACATAGGTGTTCTGTGAATTGGTCATCATGGGCTTCCTCGTGGCAGTCCATAAGGATAGAGCATTGGAGATCAAAGACTCGAGTGATCTCCCATTTCTTTCTATTTAGAGTTTGCTGCCTGTAGAAGTCTTCACCGGTAGATGCAGCTAATAGACCGTCGGTAAGAACCTTCAAGCAGAGGCTTGACAATCACGTGGCGACACAAGGATTGCGTCCCACCTCACTATTATTGGGTATATATTTAAGGTCTTGCCTTACTACTGCATATTCGCATTCTATTACTTACTATTCGCATATTCGCATATCATTCTTCTTACTACCCTCCCAGGTCATTCGCTCACTTAACTGCTGATGAAGTTTATTTCTGCCTATATCCTCTTTGTCTTTTTGTACGTTTTTTAAGCTTACACAATTTGCACTTGTTATATCCACTATTAATATCTCCATTTTCGACTAAAGGTGAAAGGATGAAGTTTATTCACAGCAACAACACGGCCCTAGCACACTAGGAACCAATCGCTGAATTACTCCCACAGGAGACAATCCAATCTACGAAAGTAAATTTTAGAACAAGCTACACAGCCGTCTACCGGAAAGCAGACGTAAGTATTTACTTTATAACAAAGAATCAAGTGCGCATACGTCAGTTCTGTCTGCATTGTTTCGTAAAAGCAAGAGATCATGTGACATAACAATCCTTCGAATTAGTGCCACCTTTATCTGGTGGGTATTAGGACATTTCAATAAATAGGTCTAAATATATTAGCATGATATCATGAAAATTCAATTACATAGGTCTAACTTTTGTACTTACTGCTTCCTTCAATCCACTATACTTTGTAGACATTGGTGTGAAGTATTATTTTTGGATAAGCGTGCACGAAGTATAATGCATTTCAAGATTATAATGTCAACGAAAATATGTGTGTCATGAAAAATCTCATTTAGCAAGTATCCGGAAAAAATGAATTGTCATCAAACCTCCACGACGACCAACTACAAAGCTACAAATACTGCGTATCTAACAGGCAAACCAGCATGCATACAGGTAATTAAAGCAGAACACGAACTTTGCAGGAGAGCGTTTATTCCACCAAATCGACTTTTAAAAAGTGTGGGGGTACAGTCTTAGGATAAAACAGTTTTACTGGGCTTCATTAATGTTTAGGCTCTGCAACTCCTGTATCTCCTGGTCCAGGCAGTTGACTCCCGGGTGTCTTTCTGCAAGTACAGAAAATAAAATAATATAAATAAAGTAAAAACAAATAGTGTGATAAAATGGGTTTTGTTTCTCTTACAAGTATATGCAACAATTTCACTTTGTTAAAACAACATCGAATGTTCCTTTAATTCTTTCAGTAGTGGAGTCTGCAAGTTGAGCCGCCAGTTTCAAAATATGGAGCCCCAGCTGTTTTCGTTGGATGGGTTTTTCGCTGAGTTTTCGAAGTGCACCACGCTGGTGAGAGTTTGTTTATTGTAATCTAACAGACTTAGCTTCAGTCAATATCTCGTAGCACTGTTAAACTGGGCTTTACTCGTAACCCTGTAGCCTTGGGTTGTGAATTCTTACAGATGGAAGAGGCTTATGCTGGCCTACCTACTGTTTACAACTCCAGACGCATGATAAAGCAGATTAAAATTTGTTTAAAATCGTTGCAAGATGTGTCGAACCAGTCTATCCCTTCTGTTCGGCCATTGTTAACACGAATTGAACTATTTGGGATCCTGACCTCATGTTTGAACCTTGTGAGTTTCTGCATATTATATTTCTTTTCCAGCTGACAAGGCCGATAAATTACTTTGAAAAGTGAGTCTGGTTATGAGATATCAAATCGTTGTAGGCGACTTGTCTGGATTTACCAGACGCGTAATAAATCTGAGCAAGGTATGAAGAAGACAGGTGTTATTAAATGGCATCACTTCGTAGTTTCTGCACGATCAGTATGCTTCGAAATCATTGGATAAAGTGTTTGGGAATCAGTCCAAATTAAAAGCGCACACTGGAAACTAATGTAGTGGGTTAAGTAGTCATAATCAGACAAAGGCTGAGGTCCGTTTCTTTGTACAAAGTATGAAATGTATGTGCTCCTGCCACATTTGTTAGGAAGTGACTGATAGAAAGTTGTAAGAACTGACTTTGTGACCAAGATTTAGTAACTACTTCTCAATGGATGATGCTGGATTTCTGTCCTTATTAAATACATTTGGATTTTCTGTGGCCTAATAACCATTCAAAAGCTTTTTTGGACGGCATTGGAACGTCATTTTGCTTCTAAACATGTATTTAGCCTGGCAACTGCAGGTGAACTTTAAGATGTATTGAAGTATAGTTCAGTCTGATCCTAGGCACAGGAATTGAAAATCTTCACGGTGTAAAGAAAAGGTATGTGCTGTAGAATGTGTGCTTTATGGTTGACTGAAGCCTCAGAGCTTTTATCTGCATGATTTAATCAACCTTTGCATTTTTTCAATAATTTAATAATTCCCATTGTAGCATTAAGAACACAATTTTCAGCGAAGAGACTCTTTTCAACGAATTTATTATCAAGCTGTACAATCGTATATATATGGTTTTATAAAGAAATTATATCCGGTGAGGGAATTAGGTCAAAGGTGTAAATACATGAAATAATAATAGTATGAAATAAATTTAAAATATTTGTGATTAGGTTCATAGTTTAAGTCAAGTGGAACAATAATTAATGTCATATATAAGATAATACATCGGGTGTATAGATTTTGGGGAGAGGCATATAGTTGTAAGATTAATAGACGAATGTAAAATGTTACATAATATGGTGTGAAATTTGATAACATAGAATTTAATATTGTAAAAATAAAGATAAAAAGTATACACATGAATAATTTTTGGTTTAAAATGTCAAGTAGATCAAGTGGAAAAGATTCAGAATGAGAGTCGTAATAATAATAATAATGATAATAATAATAATAATCGAAGTAATAAGGGAAAAGTACATAAAATAATAAAATAAATGTCTATCCCTCTACGGCCAAGGCAGCAGTAGGGATTGTACATACTTCTTTTGTACACAAAGGTCTGGCTTAAAGTCATGAATTGCCAAGGCCTCAGCTGTCTTTAGAAGTCTGTAACGAAGAAAACGCGGGAAGTTGGCATGAATTCTGTATATGACCTTGAAATCATGGTCAGGGTTGACCGAGTGACAGGAGTCGATGAGGTGTTCTAAGATAGAACTTCGCACACATTTCCTTTCTCCTTTGTAAAACCAAGCTGGAATATGTTCTCGTATCCGTGTGGAGAGCATTCTCTGACTACGGCCAATGTACCTTGCTCCACAAGAGCAGGTGAACTGGTAGATGCACATGGAGGCGGTCAGACGGGGGAGCTTATCTTTTACAGAGGTAGAGAACAGTTTGCGGCTCGTGAACGTCATATGTAATCTAGCTGCAGGGAACGTTTTACTAACTGATTTAGAAAGACGATTTTTGAGCATATCAGAAGCTTGGTCTCCTTTGAATTCCAAGTTCACGAATAGGGTTTTCTTTGGAACTGAGTCAGTGACCAGTTTAGACTGCTTCTCTTTCATGTTTCTGTCAATAAATCGGTTAGGGTAACCGTTTTCTGCGAGTGTGGCTTTCAGGAAGTCAAGTTCTGAGTCGACGCAATCAGAACTACAAATTTTCCTTATCCTAAAGCAGAGTGAATGGATTAAATTCCTTTTCCTGGAAATAGGCACCCAACTGTAAAAATTAGTTAGTTGTCCGTTCCATGTACGTTTACGGTGGATCGATCTCTTGAGAGATCCGTCATTCCGTCTGCTAAGGCACACATCAAGAAACGGAATACTTAGTTCCGATTCCTTTTCTACGGTGAATTGTAAAGAAGGATGGCAGTTGTTGAAGGCGAACAAGACATCATCAAGAACTACTTTCTTATCGCAGATGACGAAAGTGTCGTCTACGTATCTTTTATAAATGTCAAAATGCCCGATGGTTTGACTAAGTTGAGAATTTTCCAGCTTTGCCATAAAACAATCAGCTAACAAAGGACCCAGTGGTGATCCCATGGCAATGCCATCTCTCTGTCTATAGATCTCATTGTTGAAGGTGAACTGAACATTCAACGTGCATCTCAATAAAAGTTCTTTGAGGTGGATTGTCGGTAAACCTATTTCCAAACCATGTGTATCAATATATTCACATAAATAGCTAACAGTTTCCATGAGAGGAACATTGGTAAATAGCGACGTGACATCTAATGAGAACAGGACTTTTTCTGAGACATTAAAATCTTTAATACTATCAATAAATTTAAACGTATCATCAATGGAAAACTTAGATACTTGCCTTCTGACTGGTTCCAATATTTCGGCTAGCCATTGGGCGATTCCGTGATAAGGAGAGCCCGCCATATCGAGGATTGGACGGAGGGGTAATCCTGTCTTATGTATTTTAGGTAGTCCATACAAACGTGGTATAATGGAGCCTACTGGTCTGATGCGTTCGTATATTTCTGACGATATTGCTGACTTATTCCTCATATTCTTTAAGACATCAGTCAGTTGATTTTCAATTAGATGTGTCTTGTTCTTTTCACCGTCGGGTTTGGCGAATTTCGTTTGGTCAGAAAGGATCGCTGAGATTTTATCATTATAATCTTGGCGATTCATAACTACGACACCCCCACCTTTGTCTGGACGGCATATGATAATATCATCATTCTTCTCTAGCTCTTTCAGTTGGTCTATATGCTCTTTAGTCAGAAGATTATTCGAGCTAGGTTTTGAACTAGTATACTGATGACAGCAATCAAGAACTGTGGATTTAAAGTATTGGAATTCCTCAGGTGATGTGGGTGTAAGATCGTTGGTCTGATTAATAAGATTTTCGAATTGCACTTGAGTATGCAGTCTGTTGACTTTGGATGAACTGTTGCAGAATTTGGGGCCCAGTGATAGGGCTTGTAGTTGAATTTCAGAAAGAGTGACGGAGGAATAATTAAATACATACTTATTGGGGTCAGTCGGGAATCGCTTTTCTGCTAATACCTGCTTGAGACTGTCAAGATGCTTGAGGTTAGCAGACTGGGACTGTTTTTCAATGACACAAGAAACGTATTCCTCGAATTGCCGGCGTTCATCAGTCGAAAGTTCAAACAGAACATGACTTCTCAGAGTTATGTTCCTGTTTAATTCTACCACACGAGAACTGATTGCATCAATATGATTAAGTGTGTGGCGCTTTAATGTTTTGGAATTAGGACATATACGGCTACGTCTAAGCGCTTTCCAAAATAAATTAGGATATTCATTTTTACTGATACAGCTTTCAAGAAAGTTAATCTCGGATTTCACTAACGCAAGTTTGACAGAATACCGTAGGAAACCATTAAGTTCCTTCATCGTCATTGGGTCTTTGCATTTTTTCAATAATTTAATAATTCCCATTGTAGCATTAAGAACACAATTTTCAGCGAAGAGACTCTTTTCAACGAATTTATTATCAAGCTGTACAATCGTATATATATGGTTTTATAAAGAAATTATATTATTGACAGAAACATGAAAGAGAAGCAGTCTAAACTGGTCACTGACTCAGTTCCAAAGAAAACCCTATTCGTGAACTTGGAATTCAAAGGAGACCAAGCTTCTGATATGCTCAAAAATCGTCTTTCTAAATCAGTTAGTAAAACGTTCCCTGCAGCTAGATTACATATGACGTTCACGAGCCGCAAACTGTTCTCTACCTCTGTAAAAGATAAGCTCCCCCGTCTGACCGCCTCCATGTGCATCTACCAGTTCACCTGCTCTTGTGGAGCAAGGTACATTGGCCGTAGTCAGAGAATGCTCTCCACACGGATACGAGAACATATTCCAGCTTGGTTTTACAAAGGAGAAAGGAAATGTGTGCGAAGTTCTATCTTAGAACACCTCATCGACTCCTGTCACTCGGTCAACCCTGACCATGATTTCAAGGTCATATACAGAATTCATGCCAACTTCCCGCGTTTTCTTCGTTACAGACTTCTAAAGACAGCTGAGGCCTTGGCAATTCATGACTTTAAGCCAGACCTTTGTGTACAAAAGAAGTATGTACAATCCCTACTGCTGCCTTGGCCGTAGAGGGATAGACATTTATTTTATTATTTTATGTACTTTTCCCTTATTACTTCGATTATTATTATTATTATCATTATTATTATTATTACGACTCTCATTCTGAATCTTTTCCACTTGATCTACTTGACATTTTAAACCAAAAATTATTCATGTGTATACTTTTTATCTTTATTTTTACAATATTAAATTCTATGTTATCAAATTTCACACCATATTATGTAACATTTTACATTCGTCTATTAATCTTACAACTATATGCCTCTCCCCAAAATCTATACACCCGATGTATTATCTTATATATGACATTAATTATTGTTCCACTTGACTTAAACTATGAACCTAATCACAAATATTTTAAATTTATTTCATACTATTATTATTTCATGTATTTACACCTTTGACCTAATTCCCTCACCGGATATAATTTCTTTATAAAACCATATATATACGATTGTACAGCTTGATAATAAATTCGTTGAAAAGAGTCTCTTCGCTGAAAATTGTGTTCTTAATCAACCTTGTCTGGTAGTTTTATGAAGACGCATTCTCTGCCATGGAAACTGTACTTTAAACGATAGTCTTTGTTGTGACATCATTTGAAGCCTTTATTGTTTAATCTGCCGAAGCTAAGAGTCACGTTAACATAGTAAGCATCTTGCTTTTGGTAATATTCTTATTAGTATACTTTACAAAATGAATTTCATTCCGAATTGAGTCACTTAGAATGGATGATTCAATGCATCACTAAAAATGTTGAGTCGCATATCTAAACTTTATGAATAGTCCATCAACGTGTAGAGAAACCGCTATTTATTTAAAAAAAAAATGTGCTTCACTAAAGACTTCATTTAACTGCAAACTTTTGACATTCAAATAACCGGATAATTCAATGATGTGTATCAGTTAAATGCATTTCAAGTATTATGATTTCTACTAAACGTTATTGCCTGTTATTTTTTTTGAAGTTTGAAGTGTCGTCATCAATATGGAAAATAATGTTTACAATATCTGACAATTCTGGAAGATTTTTGGATGCTTCGTATGCTTTAGTAAACTACGCCCTTTCAAAAGTTTTCTCACACGAAGAAAACGTTTCGGTGTATGATATTTTGAAATCAGTTCGTAACGAGGTTCTAATGGTTCTTCAAAATAGTCAAGAGATTCTGGAGTCCTCACATGAAGCCTGTGTAACAGGTAGACTACCTACTCCACACGCACACTTCCAGTCGGTTATTATATCTTTAGGAAGGGCTTATATCGAACACTATTGTGATGTAAGTTCAAACTATCAAATTATAACTTCTTCGGTTATATTTTATTTTACCCATTAACTGTCATTCATCCCATAGAAAGGTAGTGTTCTAAAACACTGTAAATCCTACACATCAGATAACAGAGGGTGATTTAGTATTATTTGTTGTTGGCCATTCTGAAATGAATTGTCATCTAAATGTTATCAGCCAACTGTATCATTGGTAACGCATAGCTACAGGTTATTCTTCAGGAAATGTTATTAACTGGAAGCTTGTTTAGTGCAAGTCACTGTTTAAATAAAGAATATTTGCAATAGATTCCGTTCTATGTAGGCCTGACACCTTGTTGATACTGAGATATGAAGATGGAAATATGGACAGGAATATTATTTCCTCTTGTTGTCTTAGTGATACTCATCTAACTAGTTAGGTTTTATACATCACCGAAATCTTGGTTTGATTACTTTAAGGGTTCCCCCTTTTTATTCCTTACTTATAAACTTTTACAATTATGATTTTAATTAAATAGTTCGGTATCCTGTTGTAATAGTGGCTACATGTGGACTGTATGACCTGTAAACGATAGTTCACTGAACGTTTGACGACTGTGCAATTAACACTTTATCAGGTAGATTTTGTAAATAAGTAAAGTGACTCTCATTCGCTATTATATAGCAGCATAAAAACAAGAATGAGAGAAGACAGCACATAAAACAGTTTTTGAAAGTCTAGGAAATTGAAGATGAACTTCCTATTGAATCTCACTAAATGTGACATTATGATTTCAACCAGTTTGTTGGAGTTCGAACCCCAGTTCATCTTCCAAGCTCTTGAGAGCCAAGTATTATTAACTTTCATACCATGTGCCCATTAGCACATATGCGGTTTTCAAGTGTTAATTTGTAGGCATTAAATCAATTTCAGTTTTAATCACGAAATAACTTCAGAAGACCAGGATGTACTAGATAGCTGTTTCACTCTTGTATAGACCATAATCAGACATTATAGTAAAAATAACTAACAGATCGAAGATGAAATACGACAATATCGAGACGAGTTTTGTAAGTCATCAACAAAAAATAGTTCTGGTTAAATGACCTGCGAAAAATAATTCAGTAGATCCTTCAACTGTCTTCATAGTTTTTTTTTCTAAACTTGTTTTGACCTGACAAAGGGTAATATATCTTTCTAGACGAATAAATAAAATATAAAATGAAGTGTTGGAAATGCATTCAGACATAAATAGCTTAATTATAAAATATTTCATGTCTGAATGAATTTACGCAGGCTTACACGTATCTCCTACCGATATCTGCAAATGGCTATGAAGTCTAGGTCCACAAATGCCTGCTAATTGCTTTATTCCAGCTTATGACAGCGTCCAGTAATAGACAATATGGTGTCATTGAGATCAGTAGCCATATTACGGAGAACTCTTCGCTGATTTCTGTGCCTTCAATGAACTAGTGATTGGTGGCAGCGTATACAAGTACAAGGCTACATGGGTGTCACCAGACGGGCGGGCCAAAAACCAAATTGACTTCATCTCAATCTCAAGGAAGTGCAGGCGCAACCTACTGAACACAAAAGTTAGAAGAGGAGCAGACGTTGGCTCAGGCCACTATCTTGTACAAGGGACAATCCAAATCAAATTAAAAGCTTTCGGAGAAACAGGAGCTGCGAATAGACCACAAGCCAAGTTCAACACTCAAAAACTGAAGGACCAGGATACAAAGGTGTTATGTACTGCTGCTGAGTGGTTAATAGTAGTTTTCCCCGTCGCCAATTATGTTATGTACTTGTCGAGTAGTTAATAGTCCTGACGCGGAAATAGGGAAATCAGAAGACCACCAGGTTTACGATGATACTTGTATTTTCCAGACAAGGAAAATAATTGTCACACAAGAGTGTGAGTGAAATGGCACGTAGTGTAAGAAACGTGGGAACAATTATGAACAAGTGTCTAATACAAAAGTATATATGAAAATGGCTAATACACGTGAACCAATAAATAGACAGTCTAGACATGATTGGTTGTAATGTCATGTGACAACAAGGTCATACATGTTTATTTAGTTAGTGGACAGACAAAAGCATATTGTCAGTTATAATGAAATATCGATCCATATACACATAGCAAAATATAATAGACTGTCACACGTCATGTGGCTACATATCATAAGGATATCTTCACTGCACGGATAAGGGAAAAAGCAGAGACACAAATCAACACTAGCGAAGAGGTCGGCTTCGAAAAGCACTGGGACAACTTGAAAACGGTGTGGAGTCAAACCTGCGTGGAAGTTCTAGGCAGGAAGAAGAGACAGGACAAACAGTGGCTCACTATGGACACTTGGAAACTAACAGAAGAGAGAAGGATAGTCAAACAAAAGATTATCCAGTGCACCGACGAGCAACAAAAACAGGAGTTGAATACAAACTACAATACGCTGAACAAAAGAGTGAAGAAGAGTGCCATGGAAGACAGAAGAAAATATTATGAGGCCAT